CATCATCATATTTCTACTTTTATCTTAATAATCACTAGAATGACTCTTACAACTTCTACCTTCCTATTAACATCATCATTATCGTATCGTAATTATATTTAATGATAATTATCACAACTGCTTTATTTTAGCCACTATCCTGTCTCTGCTGATAAAAAGTACAAGTACCTGTACTACTGTCTGGTTATCTGATCTATTCCTCCATTATCTTTGTAATGCTCTGTAGGACGTGGCTGCTAAATGTATTCAGGATGCTAAAGTAAAAGTTATATTTGAATATTTGCGTAAATAATGGATTGTATCACGGAAACAAAAACATAAATGCTTTCGTAATATAACTTTTTGTTTAATATTGTCTCGTACAATAGTAAGTACAGTCGCTAATAAAAACAACTGGTCCCAATATTTTCAAAAGTAACAGAAGGATTGATGTGATTAAGTTGTGACCTCAGCAGCGTGTTATTAGAAATAATGAGGCTTTGGCTTAATTAGCTCAATTTTGTAAATTAAAGATGTTAACATTAATCATCTAATGAAATTAAAGTGTTACGAAACAGCCAATAAATATCGCGAAATTTGCTAATAGCACATTTTCTGATTTTTCTGTGTTTTCTAGGGCTCGAAGAAATAATATTTCACATTCTAGGGCTCGGAGAAATAACATTTCACATTTTAGCGCTAGGAGAAATAACATTTCACATTTTAGCGCTAGGAGAAATAATATTTTACATTCTAGGGCTCGGAGAAATAACATTTAACATTTTAGCGCTAGGAGAAATAATATTTTACATTCTAGGGCTCGAACAAATAATGTTTCACATTCTAGAGCTAGGAGAAATAATATTTCACATTCTAGGGCTCGTAAAAATAATATTTCACGTTCTCGGTATCGAAGTAATAATATTTCACATTGTAGGGCTCGGAGAAATAATATTTCATATTCTAGGGCTCGGAGAAATAATATTTCATATTCTAGGGCTCGGAGAAGTAACATTTCACATTGTAGGGCTCGGAGAAATAATATTTCATATTCTAGGGCTCGGAGAAATAATATTTCACATGCGAAAAATCACGGCAGATACATCTTACCACTACTCTTCCATTTTTTGTTGCTTCGTCTGTCTTTAGTCATTAGTTTATCACCAGTGGAATTAGCCCATGTACAGCTTCAACTGGCCCAGTGTTGACCTAGTTTCGACTGTTTGTAATTAACACTGTTTGTAATGTTAATGAATGTTTAGTGTCTGTCTCTTCAGTCCCACGACATAGAAACTGTCATTGAGCTTGCTATAGTTAGTAAGGTCTGTTGATGTTGGCGATTTAGGAGACATTGATAAATAGTATGATTTAAGATAAACAACCAAATCATCTCAATTAAAGGTGCTGCGACGTTCTAGAAAATATTACCCGTCATTCCCTCATTCATGTGACGAAGTACTTTCTCCAGCAGCACATGTTATGTGTGCACATGACTTTGGTTATCTTACCATGAAGTAACTAATAAGTAAACATCTCTTTAATTTTCTTGTTTTGATTAACAGACAGCTGTGGCTTAAATTCAGAAAGTTCTAAGCGTTTGATTCCCCTGAAGTTGACGTGTAGGAAGTATTATTTTATACTTCATATTTTGTCATTTTAGTCCTAGATATATATATATATCATTTTCTAATATCAAACGGTTTTAGACCCAATATCCTAAATTTAAATAATTCGAAAAGAAAAAAGAAACGATACTGAAATCCAATAGGACATAGCGTCGAGGAAAACAGTTAAATATTACAGTTTGTAAAGCGTGTTTGACTTCGGTGTACTTTAAAATCAGTCTTTTATTATAGTGCGTAAAGTGTGTTTGACTTTTATGTGCCCCTAGTGGCACAGCGGTATGTCTGTGGACTTACAACGCTAGTATCCGGGTTTCGATACCCGTGGTGGGCAGAGCACAGATAGCCCATTGTGTAGCTTTGTGCTTAATTACAAACAAGCAAACAAAAACTTTGGTGTACTTTAAAATCAGTCTTTATTATAGTGTGTAAAGCGTGTTTGACTTTGGTGTAGTTTAAAATCAATCTTTATTAGACTACGTAAAGCGTGTTTGACTTTGGTGTAGTTTAAAAACAGTCAATTATTACAGCATATAATGTGTGTTTGACTTTGATGTCGTTTTAAAAATTTTCATATATTACATTATGTAATGTGTGTTTGAGTTTGTAATAGTTTCAAACAATTCAAATATTACAGTGTAAAGTGTGTTTAGTTTGATGTGGCTTAAAACTTTTAATAATAAATTAAATCCACCTGTGACCTATTTGAACATAGAACAATGCACATGACGGGTATGGTACACCTATGTTTAATGTTACAACAATACGCATGACGGGTATGATACACCTATGTTTAATGTTATAACAATGCACATGACGGGTATGGTACACCTATGTTTAATGTTACAACAATACTCATGACGGGTATGATACACCTATGTTTAATGTTATAACAATATGCATTACGGGTATGATACACCTATGTTCAATGTTACAACAATGCACATGACGGGTATGATACATCTATGTTTAATGTTACAACAATGCACATGACGGGTATGATACACTTATGTTTAATGTTACCAAACTTGGTTTTGAAGAAAAATACTGGAATTTTGTAAAAGTTAATTATCAGTACACACTTTTACTTTTGCTAGGTAAAGTGAAACTGATTGCTGTAAAAACAGACTTGGAGGCAAATATTATTAAAATTTACTCACAATTATGCTTCAGAACAAACCACCAAAGAAGTTTTCAGTTTGCCAACAATAACATTGACTGTAACGCTAATAAGTTATTTTTTGAAAATTTATTTCAAATATCCTTTTTTATTTACTGATATATATTTATAATTTCCTACGTCTCAGTTAAAAGACTTCTTTTCTATGTAGTGATCGTACTGAGTCAAAATTAAAACATTAATTGAAGATCACTATTGAAGTACATTTTCTCTTAAGTAGAATTATTAAAAATTCTTAAATACATATTATGGAAGCCTTTGTAAGCAACGTACACTTTCATGCCAAATCCCATGTCATGTTTGTGTTTAGACAACCACACCTATATATAAACATATATTTTTTTGCGATAAGTAAAAGTACTGTAAATATTTTACAAGATTTGCTCGTATTTAAATACGTGAATACGAAAACATCAAATTGATAAAGATTAGAGAAGCAGTGACTGTAAATTATTCTATGTTAAGTCGTTGTATATGTACGGTCTTGGCATAGCCTGGTGGTTAGAGAGCTTGAAAATAATATCGGCCGACCCAAAACTAGTTGGGATTAAGATCGTAAATGAATACCGTATTTTTCGAAATATAAGACGCACCCTTATTTTGAAGACAAAGTTTGGGAGAAAAAAAGTTACAGTCGCATTTGAAAGATTTTTATCGAACAAAAATTCAATTTGATACTTTAAAAAGTAATATATGTTGTTCTAAACACAAAAGAGCTCAAAACATCAAAATAAAAAGCCCCCCCAGTGGCACAGCGGCATGTCTGC